TCTTGAAGAGTTATGGTGCCCCCATGGATGATTTGTTAGCATTTTACTGTTCAGTAATTCGTCCTATTTTAGAATACGGCGCAGAGATTTGGAACGGAGGTCTAACCCAAGAGCAGAAAAAGAGCATTGAACGAATTCAAAAACGAGTACTTAGAATAATTTACCCAAACCTAGACTACGACCAAGCAATAACTGAGACAAAATTACAAACTTTGGAACAACGTAGGGACGAATTATGTGTATCTCTAATTAAAAAAATGCTGGAACCAAACCATAAACTTCATAGCCTCTTACCAAAGAAACTAAAATACATTAGGCAAAAAGAAACAAGAACTAACAGTCAGAAATTATATAATTTCCCCTCTAAAACCGAACGTTTTAAACACAGTCCATTAGTTTACTGTATATACTTATATAATTCTAGATTAGTTGATTAGGATCATCATTTTTAAAATTTTATCAGTTAATGTACAAATAGGTATGCATTAGTAGTTTTTATACATATTGTAAATAGATATAGATTAGTAAAACTTTAATTTTAATGAATGACATGTAAATATATAATATATATATACTTTTTTATACCCAATTTGTAAACACATTGTAAATTAGCGTAACTACTACTAAATGTGTTAATAAAACCATTACCATTACCATTACCATCCGTCTATGCACGGTCCTTTAAAATGCAACAATGGCAAGGCAGTGTTTTGAGATTGCCCATGTCAAAGTCAGTACCATTTTGAGGAGATAGGCATTCGACGAGAAGTGGGAAAAATCGCCAGTATTGCGCGGATCTAGCTAGGCCAAATATCATTAACTAAAATAAGGTGCGTATTCTTTTGAAAGTACTATTCTATATTAAAAGATTAAATTTTACTGATTTTGCACGCTTAGTCCAGGTTAGAAACGCAATTGTGCATGCTAGTTCATAAATTGTGCATCTCAAAAAGCGAATGGTCCTTCGAACCGGATTCGAACCGGTGACTAGGGATGATTGTTGTAAACATCTACAGTCAACCCCTCTACCAACTGAGCTATCGAAGGAGAACGATTAATCCACAAAAATACACATCGTTGACTCGAAATAGTGCATATTTATTAGATGCTCGTGATCCCGTCCATGCACGGTGTTACAAACTGCAACAACGGAACGGCAGAATTTTAGGTTCGCCATGTCAAAATCAGATAAATACCACTTTGAGGAGATAGGCATTCGGCGAGAAATGGGCAAAATCGTCAAAAATTGAGCGGATCTAGCTAGGCCAAATATCGTTAACCAAACTAAGAAGCGTATTCGTTCTGAAAGTACTATTCTATATTATAAGACAGAATTTTACTGATTTTTCACGCTTAGTCCAAGTTGGAAACGCAATTTTGCATGCTAGTACATAAATTGTGCATCTCCAAAAGCGAATGGTCCTTCGAACTGGATTCGAACCAGTGACCTAGGGATGATTGCTTTCAACAACTACAGTCGCCCGCTCTACATACTGAGCTATCGAAGGAGCACGAATAAAGCCCGAAAATACCCAACATTGACTTGAAATTGTGCATATTGACTGGATGTTCTTGATCCCGTCCGTGCACGGAGTTATAAACTGCAACAACGGAACGGCAGATTTTTTTAGCTTCCCATGTCAAAAACAGATCAATACCACCTTGAGGAGATAGGCATTCGTCGAGAAATGGGCAAAATCGCCAAAAATTGAGCGGATCTTGCTAGGCCAAATGTCGTTAACCAAACTAAGAAGCGTATTCGTTTTGAAAGTACAATTCTATATTCAAAATAGTGCATATGTATTAGATGCTCGTGATCCCATCCAGGCACTGTGTTATAAACTGCAACAACAGAACGGCAGTTTTTTAGATTCGCCATGTCAAAATTAGTACCATTTTGAGAATATAGGCATTCGACGAGAAATGAGCAAAATCGGCAGTATTGTGCGGATTTATATAGGCCATATATCATTAATCAAAGGTTCGTTTTCGTTTTGAAAGTACTATTCTATATTATAAGACTGAATTTTACTGCTTTTACAAGTCTACCCAGGTTGGAGTGTACTGTATCCTCCAATATGACTAATAAAGGAACCCAAATTTGTATGCCAGAGCATAAATTGTCAATCTCAAAAAACGAGTGGTCCTTCGAACCGGTTTCGAACCAGTGACCTAGGGATGATTGCTGTCAACAATTACAGTCCCCCTGTCACGCCCCTGTTACTTTGGCACGCGAGATATGTACGGAATGTTTTGAAAGACTCGTAAGCAAGATCTTACAGGGTGATAAAATGCTGCATTTCGCATAGTTTATTTTTATTTTTATTTTAATACCCTTAACAAAGCGTTAAATTTGTCATTATTACATGTTAAATGGGTTGGATGGAAGAAGAACGAGACCGAATTGTGGACAGCCGAACGGGATGACAAACTGGCGCCGAATTTGGACAAAGATGATGTCTTACCTTGTCGATGGTTAAACAGCTTGGATCTGCTTAAAACCCAGTTAAAACTAGTTTAAAATGTGCTTTATACCATTATGTTTAAGCCGCATTGCCTATTTGGAAGGATTTCAACGAAAACTGCGATAAACAGCGGAGTAAAGTGGAGAATTTGGCCAAATACGTCCATTCGCAGGGGGTAGGTACATTTCAAATTATTATTTCGGTCACAAAATATTAATCATTTTACACCAAAACAGTAATAATATAATTAAACAAGACGCTCTATGGAGCATTAACGCGCTGGGGCTATATAACTGACGCACATTACTGTTAAGATCTAAAGGTTGATTTTCACTGCACGCAAGACTTTGAATCCTTCTAATTTTTAAATATTTTACGAATAAGTTAATATTCATACTAAAACTTGTGGAGCAGTAAATTCTGTTGCTTTATTTATTTGGTTATTTTCTAAGTAACATTTAAACTGATTTAACGTTTTACGTGCGTATACGTAGGTATGACTGAAAAACGCAATTATGCTCACAAGTAAAGTTATATTTTATAGTACGGTACATTCTTTTGTCGGCCGCCAGTTTAAAACGTTCAAAATAAAATATTTGGGGGCTTTTGGGCTCAAAATATTATCAAAATGAAGATAGAAGTGAGACGAATCCACGGGTGTACGGCCGAAAAAGAGAAAACCAATGATACCAAAGTTATCAAGGATCAAACATACTGCATTTTTTTTATAATTTGAGCGATTTGTCAACAAATAATACAATTTCGCTTGGCTTTCAAAGACAAAGGCCATAAATCGCTATAATACTGTTGTCAGTTGTTAGTAATACATTTGACATCCGTAGGTACAATTTCTCGTAAATACAATTTCTTACGCTGAATCAAACGGTGGTATTTTTATCCTTATTGCGCCATTAGGCAATACAAATACAAGGTCGGACCACGTCGGACAAACGGCGAGTGATTTGTAAACAATACGTACTGCGTTTGTACGGCGAGCGTTTTGTAAACAATACAATTTCGCTTGATTTTCAAAGAACATGAATCGTTAGAATACTGGTGTTTAGTAATACATTTGACATCCGTAAGTACAATTTCTTACGCTCAATCGAACGGTGGTATTTTTATTCTTATTGCGTCATAAATAGGTATTACAAATACAAAGCATATTTCACTGAGTACACTACAGTTTTCACGGACTGTTGTTCGATAAATTTTATATTGATATGACACCAATATGCTTCTCGTATTAGTAGTTATTTATTAAAACTACGTTGTGCAGTTTAAGTTATAACCTTTTACCTTGAAACTTTGGCTCATTTATATTCAGATTTAGTATATTATGATCGTGCACGGGAATTCAACGATCCAAATTTCGGATTTTCAGAGTCGTGCACCAAGAAAAACGCATTAAATAAACTAGCAATAATGTCCAGAGTTAGACACAATGCAAAATCTATAGAAAACAAGTACAATTCGTTCAAAATTTTCACGAAATTGTTTGAAACATTTTGCCCACTCCACGAAAGGCCCCGCCATTTTGAAAAGGATCAAGCAGCTCATTAATATTCTATTTTTTGGCTATCGACGACGATTGGAGATTGGACATTGGAGATATATATACTCGCCTGGGCACAGAGTGCCCCAGCGAGTAATAAATGCCAATTATGTTTCTATCAAAAAGATTTAGGAAAAAAGGTAATGGAGGTCCACTGCTGCTTACTGAAGTTGTAAGCCACAAATTGACGTTTGACTATGAGTATTGCATGGTCATTTTCTTGCGAAATATCAGTGCTAGGCATTTCACACTTACCAATGGCCACCCCTAAAAGCACCATCTCTGAACCATATAAGCACCTCAGAATAGCCAAACCTTGTAAGGTTTGGTAGATAGAACTATGTCGAAATCGTCGTTTTTGGGTGTGGTCGGTTTCGGACGTTTCGTCCCGGATTGGAGTTCTGGCAGCGTTACCATGTTGATCGTCATGGTCAACTTACCCTAAAACAGTTGAGATTATCTGTCCTAAATGAAATGCATACAAACTCATATACAGGTCCTCGACTACCGGTGTTATAAACTGCAACAACGGAACGCCAATTTTTTGGAGGTTCGCCATGCCAAAATCAGATCAATACGACTTTGAGGAAATAGGAATTCCGCGATAAATGGGCAAAAATCGTCAAAAATTGAGCGGAGCTAGCTAAGCCAAATATCGTTAACGAAACTAATATGCGTATTCGTTTTGAAAGTACTATTATATATTACAAGACTGAATTTTACTGACTTTACACGCTTAGTCCAGGTTGGAAACGCAATTTTGCATGCTAGTACATAAATTGTGCATCTCCAAAAGCGAATGGTCCTTCGAACCGGATTCGAACCAGTGACCTAGGGATGATTGCTGTCAACAACTACAGTCCCCCGCTCTACCAACTGAGCTATTGAAGGAGAACGATTAACCCACGAAAATACCCATCGTTGAATCGAAATAGTGCATATTTATTAGATGCTCCTGATCCCGTCCATGCACGGTGTTATAAACTGCAACAACGGAACGGCAGATTTTTTAGGTTCGCCATGTCAAAATCAGATAAACACAACTTTCACAATTTGAGTTCGCACATAGAAAATTGCGTTCCTTTATTAGTCAAATTGGAGGATACAGGACTCTCCAATCTGGACTTAGCATGTAAAATCAGTAAAATTATTCTTATCATAATAATAATAATAATAATAATAATAATAATAATAAGAATAATAAGAATAATAATAATAATAATTTATTAATTTATAAAGCGCCAAACACTATAAATTTTCTAAAGCGCTATCATTACAAATTCAAATAAAATGTTATAAAATATGAGATGATACCTATATATACACGTTTAAATTTACTATTATATTTAAAGATAAAATGCCTTTTTAAAAAGATAGGTTTTAAGGCGGCTTCTAAAAGTTTCAACTGTTGACGCCTCACTAATATCAGCGGAAAAATCAGATTTACTATTATATTTAAAGATAAAATGCCCTTTAAAAAGAAAGGTCTTTAATCTGCTTTTAAAAATTTCCACTGTTGACGCCCTGCGAATGTTAGCGGGAAGTTCGATTCATTCCACAAAAATGGACCAGCCTTGGCAAAAGCTCTGTCGCCAAACGTTTTCCTCATTGTCTTAGGAACTATTAGCAAATTTTGTTCACTCGAACGCAGGCTGTAGCAACCAATATGCTTAGATGTCCGAAGGTCTGAGATATAAGGCGGTACATTAGCATGAAGAGCCTTGTACACCAGCAACAAAATCTAGAAAATCACCCGATACCGTACAGGAAGCCAATGAAGGCCAATCAAAACGGGGGTAATATGATCAAATTTGGAGATTAGACAGACCACACGTGCTGCAGCATTCAGAACTTATTGTAATCTATCACATTGAGACTGTAGGAGACCATAAAACAATGAGTTAGAGTAGTCAAGGTGTGAAGTAACAAAAGCATGAACCAAAATCTTTGTTGTATCTTCTGAAAGGAATTTTCTTATCTGCCGGATATTATAGAGGCTGCGAAACGCCTTACTACACACATTTCCAATGTGAATATCGATCGACATATGTGAGTCAAACCACATTCCGAGGTTTGCACTGCCTCCACAGGCTCGATCGAAGATTCACCAACTGTAATTTCATTGATGTTAATCTTTGACAATTGCTGCTTTGAACCGATGATAATAAATTCAGTCCTGGAATCATTTATCAAAAGACGTTTAGATAGCATCCAGGCACGAATATCAGCAACATAGTTTTCGATACTCTTTAGTGCAGCATCTTGCGATAAAGATGTATCCAGCCGAAACGAATGATAAATCTGGGTGTCATCTGCATATGTATGTGCATTGGGAAGATGTATATCAATAATCTTAAATAACCCAGCGACGTAGAGTATGAAGAGGACAGGGCCAAGGCAGCTACCCTGCGGAACTCCCGATTGAAGATTGAAAAATTCCGATTCATGGTCTTTAATTAAAATCGTTAATGTTAGACGTGGGCCCACTATACCTCTTCATAATATGCTTTCACGTAAAAATATTTTGCATTTTCACGAGTCACGGATTAAGAAAATCATCGATCACGTTTCACGACTAAGTAAAATAAGCCCTTCACGCTTCACGCAAAAAGTATAGGGGGCCCTCTTAGATATTTGAGAGCATTTCCAGTTACACCAAAGTTCTTTTCAAGTGTCTCCAGGAGGATTGCATGGTCGATAGTATCAAATGCGGCACTTACATCCATAAGCACTAGAAGCATAATTTACCTTCATGGCAATCCATACTGAGGAGAATGTCGTTCTGGACTTTAGTAAAGCTGTTTCTGTTGAGTGATTTTTCCGATACGCTGATTGATATTCGGGAAAAGGGGCATTTGCAGCACAATGTATAGATAACTGAGAGATTGTTGCCTTCTCAGCACACTTGGCAACAAATGGCAGGTTACTTATAGCTCTGAGTTTTCAAACATAAAATCAAGCCCAAATTTCTTCAAAAGAGGTAGAACCAGCGCTATTTTCCAATGATTGGGTACAATTCCTTCAGAGAAAGAGAGATTAATTATTTCAGCGATGATTGGGGCCAATTCATGACAACAGAGTTTAACCAATGATGTAGGAATAGGGTCCAACTTACTGGAAGCATTCGAAGATTCAAGGATAATCCTCCGAACTTCATTCTCAGAAACCGAAGAAAATTCATCCAATTACACTTCAGGCAGATGAAATGGAATAGTAGGTGGGTTAATGGAATCTCGTAAATCTCTGATTTCACGAGTTCAATTTTCTTACAAAAAAACTCACTAAACTCGTTAGCAAGAATGGTAGGATGGCGATTATCAGGAAACTCCTCGACAAGGCGTTTTTTGTTCAAAGAGTTCACAATTTGGAATAATTTTCTGGAATCACCAGCACATTTATCAATAAGGTTGGAATAAAACATTTTTCTGGTGTCATTCAATAGTGCACTGTAGTCATCGCGTACCTTACGATAAGCAAACTTATTACATTCAAGTTTCGATTTAAGCATGATTATTTCCAGATTCCTACGTTTAGCTTTCAGCTTCTTTCAACTATCATTAAACCAAGGAACCATTGGTCGAACAGTCATAAATTTCGATCTCAAAGGAGCATTCTTATCGCTATATATATATAATATATAGAATAGCACCTTCAAAACGAATACGCATCTTCTATTGGTTAATGATATTTGGCCTAGATAGACCCGATCAATTTTTGGCAAATTTTTTCCAGGTTGGAAACGCAATTTTGAAGTTTCTTTAGGTTCGCCATATCAAAATTAGTACCATTTTTGGAAGATAGGCATTCGACGAGAAATGAGCAGAATCGGCAAAATTGCGCGGATCTAGATAGGACATATATAATTAAGCAAAATAAGGTTCGTCTTCGTTTTGAAAGTACTATTCTATATTACAAGAATAATTTTACTGATTTTACACGCTTATTCCGGGTTGGAGTGTACTGTATCCTCCATTATGACTAATAAAGGAACGCAATGTCGTATGCGAGAGAATAAATTGCGTATCACAAAAAATCGAATAGTCCTTCGAACCGCCAAACATCGTTTACCAAACTAAGATGCGTATTTGTTTGGAAAGTACTATTCTATAATATAAGAGTGAATTTTACTGATTGTTCACGCTTAGCCCAGGTTGGAAACGCAGTTTTGCATGCTAGTACATAAATTGTGCATCTCAAAAAGCGAATGGTCTTTCGAACAGGATTCGAAGCAGTGACCTAGGGATGATTCCTGTCAACAACTACAGTCCCCCGATTACCAACTGTGCTATCGAAGGAGAACGATTAATCTACAAAAAATACCCATCATTGACTGGAGATAGTGCCCATTTATTAGATGCTCGTGATCCCGTCCATGCACGGTGTTATAAACTGCAACAAAGGAACGGCAGATTTTTTAGGTTCGCTAAGTCAAAATCAGAAAAATACCACTTTGGGAGATAGGCATTCTGCGAGAAATGGCGAAAATCGCCAAAAATTGAGCGGACCTAGCCAGGCCAAATATCATTAACCAAAATAAGTTGGGTATTCGTTTTGAAAGTATTATTCTATATGATAAGAATAATTTTACTGCTTTTACATGCAAAGTCCAGGTTGGAGAGTCCTGCATCCTCCATTATGACTAATAAAGGAACGCAATTTTGTATGCGGGAGCATAAATTGTGCATCTCAAAAAACGAATGATCCTTCGAACCGGAATCGAACCAGTGACCTGGGGATGATTGCTGTCAACAACTACAGTCCCCCGCTCTGCCAACCGAGCTATCGAAGGGGAACGATTAATACCCGAAAATACCCATCATTTACTTGAAATTGTGCATATTTTTTAGATGCTCGTGATCGCGTCCACGCACGGTGTTATAAACTGCAACAACGGAACTGCAATTTTTTGGCGGATCGCTATGACAAAATCAGATCAATTCGACTTTGAGAAAATAGTCATTCCGCGATAAATGGGCAAAATCGCCAAAAATTGAGCGGATCTGGCTAGGCCAAACTTCGTTAACCAAACTAAGATGCGTATTCGTTTGCAAAGTACTATTCTATAATATAAGAGTGAATTTTACTTATTGTTCACGTTTATTCCAGGTTGGAAACGCAGTTTTGCATGCTAGTACATAAATTGTGCATCTCAAAAAGCGAATGGTCTTTCGAACAGGATTCGAACCAGTGACCTAGGGATGATTGCTGTCAACAATTACAGTCCCCCGACTACCAACTGTGCTATCGAAGGAGAACGATTAATCAACAAAAATTCAGGAAATAGACATTCCGGGAGAAATGGCCAAAATCGTCAAAAATTGAGCGGACCTAGCCAGGCCGAATATCATTAACCAAAATAAGACGCGTATTCGTTTTGAAAGTACTATTCTATATGATAAGAATAATTTTACTGATTTTACATCCAAAGTCCAGGTTGAAGAGTCCTGCATCCTCCGTTATGACTAATAAAGGAACGCAATTTTGTATGCGAGAGCATAATTTGTGCATCTCAAAAAACGAATGATCCTTCGAACCGGAATCGAACCAGTGACCTAGGGATGATTGCTGTCAACAACTACAGTCCCCCGCTCTGCCAACTGAGCTATCGAAGGGGAACGATTAATGCACGAAAATACCCATCATTTACTTGAAATTGTGCATATTTATTGGGCGATCTTGATCCCGTCCACGCACGGTGTTATAAACTGCATCAAAGGAACGGCATTTCTTTGGATTCGCCATGCCAAAATCAGATCAATATGACTTTCAGGAAATAGGCATTGCGGGAGAAATTGGCAAAATCGCCAAAAATTGAACAGATCTAGCTAGGCCAAGTATTGTTAACCAAACTAAAATGCGTATTTGTTTTGAAAGTACTATTCTATATTATAAGACAGAATTTACTGATTTTACACGCTTAGTCGAGGTTGAAAACGCCATTTTCAATGCTAGTTCATAAGTTGGGCATCTCAAAAAACAGATAGTGCTTCGAACCGGATTCGAACCAGTGACCTAGGGATGATTGCTAGCTATCAACAACTACGGTTCGCCGCTCTGCCAACTGAGCTATCAAAGGGAACGATTTATCCACAAAAATACCCATCATTAACTCGACATAGTGCATATATATTAGATGCTCGTGATCACGTACATGCACGGTGTTATAAACAGCAGCAACGGAACGGCAGATTTTTTTAGGTTCGCAATGACAAAATCAGATCAATACCACTCTGAGGAGAGGTGCATTCGGCGAGAAATGGGCAAGATCGCCAAAAATTGAGCGGATCTAGCCAGGCCAGATTTCATTAACAAAAATAAGATGCGTATTCTTTTGGAAGAACTATTCTATATTATAAAAATGAATTTTACTGATTTTACACGCCTAGTCCAGGTTGGAAATGCAATTTTTCATGCTAGTACATTAATGTTGCGTCTCGAAAAGAGAATGGTCCTTCGAACCGGATTCGACCAATGACCTAGGGATGATTGCTCTCAACAACTACAGTCCCCCGACTACAAACTGAGCTATCGAAGGAGAACGAGTAATCCACAAAAATACCCATCATTGACTCGAAATTGTGCACATTTATTAGATGCTCGTGGTACCGTCCATGCACGGTGTTATAAAGTGCAACAACGGAACGGCAGATTTTTAAGGTTCGTCATGTCAAAATCAGATAAATACCACTTTGAGAGATAGGTATTCTGCGAGAAATGGCCATAATTGTCAAAAATTGAGCGGACCTAGCCAGGCCAAATATCATTTAGAAAAATAAGATGCGTATTCGTTTTGAAAGTACTATTCTATATTATAAGAATAATTTTACTGATTTTACATGCAAAGTCCAGGTCGGAGAGTCCTGCATCCTCCGTTATGACTAATAAAGGAACGCAATTTTGTATGCGAGAGCATATATTGTGCATCTCAAAAAACCAATGATCCTTCGAACCGGAATCGAACCAGTGACCTAGGGATGATTGCTGTCATCAACTACAGTTCCTCGCTCTGCCAACTGAGCGATCGAAGGGGAACAATTAATGCACGACAATACCCATCATTTACTTGAAATTGTGCATATTTATTGGACGATCTTGTTCCCGTCCACGCACGGTGTTATAAACTGCAACAAAGAACGGCATTTTTTTTTGCTTCACCATGCTAAAATCAGATCAATATGACTTTGAGGAAATATGCATTCCCGGAGAAATTGGCAAAATCGCCAAAAATTGAGCGGATCTATCTAGGCCAAGTATTGTTAAGCAATCTAAAATGGGTATTCGTTTTGAATGTAGTATTCTATATTATAAGACATAATTTTACTGATTTTACACGCTTAGTCCAGGTTGGAAACGTAATTTTTAATGCTAGTTCATAAGTTGTGCATCTCAAAAAGCGAGTAGTCCTTCGAACCGGATTCAAACCAGTACCCTAGGGATGATTGCTGTCAACAACTACCGTCCCCCACTCTGCCAACTGAGCTATAAAAGGGAACGATTATTCCACAAAAATACCCATCATTGACTCGAAATAGTGCATATTTATTAGATGCTAGTGATCACGTCCATGCACGATGTTATGAACTGCAACAAAGGAACGGCAGATTTTTTAGGTTCGCTATGTCAAAATCAGATAAATATCACTCTGGGAGATAGGCATTCTGCGAGAAATGGCGAAAATCGCCAAAAATTGAGCGGACCTAGCCAGGCCGAATATCATTAACCAAAATAAGTTGGGTATTCGTTTTGAAAGTACTATTCTATATGATAAGAATAATTTTACTGATTTTACATGCAAAGTCCAGGTTGTAAAGTCCTGCATCCTCCATTGTGACTAATAAAAGAACGCAATTTTGTATGCGAGAGCATAAATTGTGCATCTCCAAAAATAAATGATCCTTCGAACCGGAATCGAACCAGTGACCTAGGGATGATTTCTGTCAACAACTACAGTCCCCCGCTCTGCCAAACTGAGCTATCGAAAGGGAACGATTAATGCACGAAAATACCCATCATTTATTTGAAATTGTGTATATTTATTGGACGATCTTGATCCCGTCCACGCACGGTGTTATAAACTGCATCAAAGGAACGGCATTTCTTTGGATTCGCCATGCCAAAATCAGATCAATATGACTTTCAGGAAATAGGCATTCCGGGAGAAATTGGCAAAATCGCCAAAAATTGAACAGATCTAGCTAGGCCAAGTATTGTTAACCAAACTAAAATGCGTATTTGTTTTGAAAGTACTATTCTATATTATAAGACAGAATTTACTGATTTTACACGCTTATTCGAGGTTGAAAACGCCATTTTCCATGCTAGTTCATAAGTTGGGCATCTCAAAAACCGGATAGTGCTTCGAACCGGATTCGAACCAGTGACCTAGGGATGATTGCTGTCAACAAGAACGGTTTGCCGCTCTGCCAACTGAGCTATCAAAGGGAACGATTCATCCACAAAAATACCCATCATTGACTCGACATAGTGCATATATATTAGATGCTCGTGATCGCGTCCATGCACGGTGTTACAAACAGCAGCAACGGAACGGCAGATTTTTTAGGTTCGCCATGACAAAATCAGATCAATACCACTCTGAGGAGAGGTGCATTCGGCGAGAAATGGGCAAGATCGCCAAAAATTGAGCGGATCTAGCCAGGCCAGATTTCATTAACCAAAATAAGATGCGTATTCGTTTGGAAAGTACTATTCTATATTATAAAAATGAATTTTACTGGTTTTACACGCCTAGCCAAGGTTGGAAATGCAATATTTCATGCTAGTACATTAATGTTGCGTCGAAAATGGAATGGTCCTTCGAACCGGATTCGACCAATGACCTAGGGATGATTGCTCTCAACAACTACAGTCCCCGGACTACAAAACTGAGTTTTCGAAGGAGAACGAGTAATCCACAAAAATACCCATCATTGACTCGAAATTGTGCACGTTTATTAGATGCTCGTGGTACAGTCCATACACGTTGTTATAAAGTGCAACAACGGAACGGCAGATTTTTAAGGTTCGCCATGTCAAAATCAGATAAATACCAATTTGGGAGATAGGCATTCTGCGAGAAATGAGCAAAATCGTCAAAAATTGAGCGGACCTAGCCAGGCCAAATATCATTAAGAAAAATAAGATGCGTATTCGTTTTGAAAGTACTATTCTATATGATAAGAATAATTTTACTGACTTTACATGCAAAGTCCAGGTTGAAGAGTCCTGCATCCTCCGTTATGACTAATAAGGGAACGCAATTTTGTATGCGAGAGCATAAATTGTGCATCTCAAAAAACCAATGATCCTTCGAACCGGAATCGAACCAGTGACCTAGGGATGATTGCTGTCAACAAGTACAGTCCCCCGCTCTGCCAACTGAGCTATCGAAGGGGAACGATTAATGCACGAAAATACCCATCATTTACTTGAAATTGTGCATATTTATTGGACGATCTTGATCCCGTCCACGCACGGTGTTATAAATTGCAACAAAGAACGGCAATTTTTTTTGCTTCGCCATGCTAAAATCAGATCAATATGACTTTGAGGAAATAGGCATTCCGGGAGAAATTGGCAAAATCGAAAAAAATTGAGCAGATCTATCTAGGCCAAGTATTGTTAAGCAATCTAAAATGCGTATTCGTTTTGAATGTTCTATTCTATATTATAAGACAGAATTTTACTGATTTTACACGCTTAGTCCAGGTTGGAAACGTAATTTTTAATGCTAGTTCATAAGTTGTGCATCTCAGAAAGCGAGTAGTCCTTCGAACCGGATTCAAACCAGTACCCTAGGGATGATTGCTGTCAACAACTACCGTCCCCCACTCTGCCAACTGAGCTATCAAAGGGAACAATTATTCCACCAAAATATCCATCATTGACTCGAAATAGTGCATATTTGTTACATGCTCGTGATCACGTACATGCACGGTGTTATAAACCTTAGCAACGGAACGGCAGATTTTTAGGTTCGCTATGTCAAAATCAGATAAATACCACTTTGGGAGATAGGCATTCTGCGAGAAATGGCGAAAATCGCCAAACATTGAGCGGACCTAGCCAGGCCAAATATCATTAACCAAAATAAGTTGGGTATTCGTTTTGAAAGTACTATTCTATATGATAAGAGTAATGTTACTGATTTTACATGCAAAGTCCAGGTTGTAAAGTCCTGCATCCTCCATTGTGACTAATAAAAGAACGCAATTTTGTATGCGAGAGCATAAATTGTGCATCTCCAAAAATAAATGATCCTTCGAACAGGAATCGAACCAGTGACCTAGGGATGATTGCTGTCAACAACTACAGTCCCCGCTCTGCCAACTGAGCTATCGAAGCGGAACGAATAATGCACGAAAATACCCATCATTTACTTGAAATTGTGCATATTTATTGGACAATCTTGATCCCGTCCACGCACGGTGTTATAAACTGCATCAAAGGAACGGCATTTCTTTGGATTTGCCATGCCAAAATCAGATCAATATGACTTTCAGGAAATAGGCATTGCGGGAGAAATTGGAAAATCGCCAAAAATTGAGCATGTCTAGCCGGGCCAAGTATTGTTAAGCAATCTAAAATGCGTATTCTTTTTGAAAGTACGATTCTATATTATAAGACAGGATCTTACTGATTTTACACGCTTAGTCCTGGTTGGAAACGTAATTTTTAATGGTAGTTCATAAGTTGTGCATCTCAAAAAGCGAGTAGTCCTTCGAACTGGATTCAAACCAGTGACCTATGGATGATTGCTGTCAACAACTGCCGTCCCCCATTCTGCCAACTGAGCTATCTAAGGGAACGATTATTCCACAAAAATACCCATCATTGACTCGAAATAGTGCATATTTATTAGATTCTCGTGATCACGTCCATACACGGTGTTATAAATCGCAGCAACGGAACGGCAGATTTTTTAAATTCGGCATGGCAAAATCAGATCAATACCACTCTGGGGAGAGGGGCATTAGACGAGAAAATGGCAAAATCGCCAAAAATTGAGCGGATCTAGCCAGGCCAGATTTCATTAACCAAAATAAGATGAGTATTCGTTTTGAAAGTACTATTCTAAGTTATAAATTATGAATTTTACTGATTTTACACGCTTAGTCCAGGTTGGAAACGCAATTTTGCATGCTAGTACGTTAATTTTGCGTCTCGAAAAGCGAATGGTCCTTCGAACAGGATTCGAACAATGACCTAGGAATGATTGCTCTCAACAACTGCATTCTCCCATGAACTCTGCCAACTGAGCTACCGAAGGCAAACGAAAATACCCATCATGGACTGCGCTACGGACGCCTTTTATGGATACTGTTTTAAACGGAAACAAAGGAACAACGATTGTAGGAACTTAGTCTCGCCAACATCAGTACCACTTTGAGGAAATAGGTATTTGATGAAATTAAACAAAAGAGAATGGAACATGCTTTTTTTGGACAGTATGAACGACCTGGAATGCCAACAAGTAGAGAGCCAAACTGGCCAATTTGCCCTCGACCCAGGAGTTTTTATTCTTTCGACTCTAGATTTCAAACGTTTTCATTAATTGGGGAAATGCCGCGCCGGACCTTGCTGAACTATTTAATTAACCGTTCACAGAATACGCATTGAAAATGTTATACAGGGCCAGGTTATCCAAAAAAGTCCTGTATAGGAATTACTTATTTGTTGTTAAACGTGCGTTGTTATACCTCTGGGAATTTAAACGAAAAGCAACAAAACACTGTCAAATTACACATTCGTCCTACTGTTAGTTAGACTAAGAATGTTTCTAATGACTACAGAGCAACGAGTATTTGTCTTAACAACATTTTACGTTAACGCAAAGCGTAACCGATTAGTGTTAAATTATTTGGACGAAGGCAAGTTGTAAATATTTTCTCCGTTCGTGTACGATGAAATTAAATTCTCAAAAATAGAAAAACGCACAAAAGTGATTTCTAAACGGGGAAATCTTTTTTGGGACACCATGTATATTATTTTTCTAAAATTTCTTGAATATGCATAGGTAATAGTATGGTTTCATGTGCAACTTGGAAAACAACGTGCTCGAGTGAGGTTTTCAAATACTATCAAAATTGCACGAGTCCGAAGGACGAATGCAATTTGAAGTCTTTGAAAACTCACGAGCGTATGTTTTTCAAATTGCATGAGAAACCATACTATTACTTTTAATAACATACATGAAAAAAATATGCAGTCACGTGGAAATCATTTATGCTTTTGTTTTTGTTCTTTTAATTTATGCTGAAAATTGCTGCATCTTATTGGCTATCTTTGTTATTTTTTCATATTTTAAGCCAAATAAAAAGCCTAAATAGTCAATAAAATTTGCTCTGTATTTCTTTTTCTGCAGTGTATTTCGAAAAAATTGTTCTGCTCTTAGCCAATCAGAATAGCCAATCATGGCTTGGGAGTCATATCACTAGATTAATCATAGATTAAAAGTATGATGCTCCATCAATTAACCTAACGGCTATTTTCCATTGCATTGCTGAGCGAACGTTACTCAACTTTCTCAACTTTTTGCGCCTGACTGCTCGCGGACATGCCATGAAAGTAACTTTCTTGTTGTTCCCGCGTGACTGATTTTTCACGTGATTAAAATTGGTCGCTCCACCCGCGCGGCAAAGCGACTACAATGGAAAATGATCTTAACAATACGTGTATACGATCATGACAAAAAAATCATTAATTAAAAAATGTGTATTGCTTTTCAAGCTATTATTCTATCTGCTGTAACAAGAATGATTTTTTTGTCCTCATCACAGTCTAGATTGGAAAGTATATTGCTTCAAATTTGATTGGCAAAGAAACGCACTTTTTTATGGATAAACGTAACTAACTTATTTTAAAATAACCGAACGATCCTTCGACCCGGATTCAAACCAGTGACCTAGGGATTTTTGCCATAAACAACTACAGTCCCCCGCTCTGCCGACTGAGCTATCGAAGGCTCTCGAAAGGGAGCTAAAACTGAAAGAAAATATCCTTCATTCACTTGAAATTGTATTATATTTATAAGATTCTCTTTATCCCTTTCATCAGATTCATGCATGTTGCATGTCTTAAACTGCAACTATTAATGGATAATACATGCGCATGTAATGAGACGAAAACGGTTCTGAGCAGTACTATAGCAAGCGTATCTGGCGGGGTTAATTAATGGAGGGACGCACTTTTATATGCACAAACGTAAATAAATAAATAAATAAATATATATATATATATATATATATATATATATATATATACAGGGTGTATAAAAAAACGCAACCTCGGAATTTCCTAAGAAATCACTTTGCAATTCTTAAGCATAAAAGATTTTAAGCCCCTGGGAATTGAAATCGAATTGCTAATAGATCTTATTACTGTTGTTGTGCATTAAATAAATGCATAAATTTTACTTTATGCACTCGCGTGTGCAATATTTTTGACATTTTAAATTCCCAGGCGCCTAATATCTTTTGTCTTTAAAACCATGTCGATTTCTTGGGAAATTCCGAGGTTGCGTTTTTTTTATACACCCTGTATATAAAATAATTTAATATTTTAATACAATTTTTCAATTGAAAAATTGTATTAAAATATTAAATTATTATTAAATGCTCTACAATTGTCTTGTATTGAGCACTCTTTATTCTTAAAAACTGGAAATTACTTGATGAAATTATATATATATATATATATATATATATATATATATATATATATATATATATATATATATATATATATATATATATATATATATATTTATATATATATGGTTTAGGAAACTCAAACACTGCTCAATACCATATAGATAGAGCGTAATATAGTTTTTCGTTTTACCTCAAAAAACCACAACAGTCTGTTTCATCCGTATAGGAAACATCAGGTGGTGAGGAATAGGGTCGTTGACAAAATTTTATGACCCAAGCATTGTTTCGACTAAGCATTTTTTTCACCACTTGTGAAAATTTGGGAGAAACTCGAAATTGCCTGGAAACACTCGCACTTCGTGCTCGTGATCCCACGCAATTTCTCGTTTCTCCCAAACTTTCTCGCGTGTTTCTATAACTCTATAGAAACACGGAAAATGTTTTCTATTTCTTAAATATATCATATTCGAACCAGTTACCTAGGCTGGATGATTGTTGTCAGCAACTATACAGTCCCCCACTCTGCCATCTGAGCTATCGAAGGGGAACGAACCGAAAATATCCACCATTCACAAGAAATTAACCTTATAAGCAGTGACATATGCAATTACTGCAATTTCACAGTCTCCCAAATGTAATCCACTCCCAATAAGGCAACATATGTAGTGGGATATGATGTGGTAATGAAAATGTGTGTGGTATAGTATTATCATTCAGCACACTTCAAATTCTACAGTACTCTATTACATGTATTAGGGTACTTGAAATCGACGCATTCGTCTTCTCAGTGTCACTGCATGAGGAGCAAGAAGGGTGGTCGCTTTGGAGTATCTTTGCTTCAAAAAAACTAAACTAGAATTTCGTCCTAAAATGCCATTTCGCGCCTTGTTCCACAAGCAAATTATATCAGTCATGGTTTAGTTTCTGTGATGTCTAAATTTCAGACCCCAAATTCTGGCCTACCAAGTAAACTGACTCGGTTGACTCATAGCTAGTTACGGGCCTGCAAATGATGGTCAAATTCAGAAATGTTAACAACTTAACATCGATCATTTTCTCATTTTCGTACATAATTGCTGGTTGACCATCTACTGCAGGCAGTTCTTTGGGATCTCACTGGGAGGTACAAAATTGCCGATTGGAGGGGCGAGTAAGAGGGCTGTGGGACAGCTAAAGTTTATATGTTAAAAGAGGCCCTGTTCGATCAATATCACCTGAATGACATGATTATAATAAACCAATTAAATTACCACAATTTATATAAATGTTAATAACTCACGTCTCTATAAGTGTTCAGAAATTAAGCACATTCACAAACCTTGCCAATGGCTTTCAGCGTGTATAATGTCTTTTGTGTCCGTAATCAACTTACAATGGTGTTACTGCTGCATATGAATTGCATTTATCATCATCAACAAAATGAGATTGTTCAAAGATTATGTAAGGACAGTTTTCCCGCCTATAAGAATCTAACTTGAAAGTCTCTGTACTCCGAGTAATATACATTCCTGCATGAAGTTGTCCCGAAAGAAAACTGAAGCGGAACAGAACTTTCTTTAATTTGTTTAAGCTGTTGATATTCAGTTCAGGATATATTTTGTACCTATTATTACGAGTGAGATTCACACTCCCAAAACTCATTTGAACTTTCGTATTTTCCTGTTTGTTTTACAACTTGAAAATCCTCTTTTCTCACAATGAAAGTGTACTGAATAATATCAGTTCCAGGTTCCTTTCTTTCTTTGGGGAAAAATTCTTAAATTCTATGGACAGGTGCGGTAAAGTCGGTAAAGTGTCATTTGCAGCATTTTAATTGAGGCTAGTTAATGTGTTTTGGTGAGCTTAAATATCCGCTTAACATATAACAATTGTACTTAATCACAAACGAATCCCGAGAACATTTAAGGTGGCTCGATAAATGCATGTACACTTTTCAAGAATTCAGGTGTTCAACACTTTGACATGTGCAAGCTACGCATTTTTAGGGTTTATTCAGCAGATATTGGGATTTTTATATATGTGATTTTGATTCAGCAGATATTGGGATTTTCTGACATATCTACTTTCAAGTTGTATTAGTTTTAGTAACAGATAGTCCGTTGCTATGATGACATACGTGAACGAAATTCGCTGC